TCCCCGCGGACCCCCCGCGCGCATCAGCGCACCGCTCCGGGGGGGGGAACCCGCGGCCGCACCGCGTTTATTGCCGGTAATTGTCGGGTCTCCTACCCCCCCCCCTGCACCGCGCACGGCCCCGGCGCTCCCCCGACACCGCCCCGCGCGCCCCCGCCGCTGACAGTTTAATTTCGCACCGCGCCGTTCCCCTTATTAAAGGGAAATTCATTTGCAAGCAATTTCCATGTGCGAAGCGCCGCGCGCTCGGAGCCGCGGGGGGGGGGCGGCCGTAATTGAATCAGAGCCGCGCGGTTCGTCACGGCCCCGCGCCGCGGAGATGGAGCCGCTGAATAATGGATCGGGGGCGGCGCGGGGCTCCGCGTAACCGAGTTAGAGGGGCCGCGCCGCCCCCCGGCCCTAATCGCGTTACCGCGGCACGGGGAGCTGCGCCGCGCGGGCACCGGGGGTGGGGCGGGACTGCTGAGGGATGGGGGCCGAGGGGGGATGGGGGGCGCGAGCGGGGCAGGGGGCGCACGCGTGGTCACTCACCCCGTGTGTGTGCGCTCACACCCTGACACGCGCACAGCGCTCGTGCCGCGGAGCCGCGCGGGGCTGCGTGGGGCTCAGCTCCGGCCGACCGGGCCGCGCTGGGGGAGCCCACGGGATCGATGGGGCGCCGCGGTTCCACCCCGCTGACCGCCGTGCCGACACGACACGGGCGCTGCTGGCTCTGTACCGGGGCTCACCCCGCAGGCCCGCCTCTGTGGACCCCCTTGCCGTGGGGCCGCCGTCGGGCGCGGCGCTGGGCGGGACGCCGATCCGAGCCCCTTTGTGTCTCTCATCCCGCGTCCCGCTTTGGGGTGAGGGGCGCTTCCATCCCGTTCCCTGCAGGGGGGACCGACGTTTCCCACCGGCGCCCTCCCGCTGCCCGCCTGGGGCTCTGCTGTGCCCCCTCCCGCTGCCGGGCCCGGCTCCGTCCCCCTGTCCCGTTCCTCCCGGCCTCACGGGGCCGTACGGAGCATATGGAGCTGCCGGGGGGGGGGGGGGGGGGGCGGATTTGGGGTCGCGGGGACGCAGCAGCGAACCCGAGCGGCAATGTCCCGGCGCGTGTCACGGGACATCGGGTGAGACGGGGCGCGGCGCGTGGATCGGGGCCGTCCTGCGGGCCCGAATGCGGGGCCAGGAGGGCGCGAGCGGGGTGGTGCGCGGGGGCCCCGGCGGGACCCATCCATGGACACACGGCGGCGGTGGGCGCACGGTGTGGTTTGGGGAAGGGGGGGACGCGAGGCTCTCCCTTCCGAGCCGCGCGGGGACTGCCCCGGAGCGACGTCCAAACCCCTCCGACATCGGTTCCATGTCGCGCCGAGGGCCGCTGCTCTCCCCCCCCCCCCCCACGCTTTCATGGCTCCGGCTGCTGGGAAATTTCAAGGTTGGATTTGTCTAACTCCGATTTCCAGCCGCGGGATCGCGTTCTGCCTTTGTCAGCAACATCGGCAGCACCCCCCAGCCCCCGCTCCCCCCCCCCCCCGCCCCCCCCCCCAACAGCACCGACACACGCGGGTCCCCCTGCACCTGCTCCCCCCGATCCCCGCCCGCAGGTTCACTTTCTGTCATCGCCGCGGTCACCCCCGCCCCGCTGGCCGTGACCCCCCGCCCCCTCCCCACGTGCGGGGCACGGCGCGGTGTGACTCCCCGCAAAGACCCCCAGAGACGTTGGGTGCGGTGCCACAGCCCGACCCCGCTCAGCCCCGCGCCGCTGCAGAGCTCCCCCCCTACTCCGCCGGAACGTCCCCCTTCCGACCCGCCGCGCCGCCCCGCGCTTCGGGGACCCCCCCACGCCCTTTCCCTTCCCTCTTCCCCGCGGACCCCACAGCACGAACCCCCCCGCCCCACCCCTCCGCCGTCCCCGAGGACGCGCCGTGAGGACGTGGCGGGATGGGGCCGAGAGCCGCGGGACCCTCCGGGGGACGCGGCGGCCCCGGTCCCGATGGCGGGATGCGGTGCGGGCGCCGGCGCCGGCGCGGGGCTCACCTGCGTGTGCGGCCGTCCCCGCGCCTTTACGAGCGGTTGGGATCGCGGCGCGATTTGTACCGCGGGTTTACGGTCGGGCCGCGCTCTGAAACCCAAAACCCGGAGCGGCCCTAATCACTGCCAGACGCGGCGGCCCCGCGCTTTTATGGGCGGGTTGGAGCAGGGGAGATAATAAATTTCTGCGACGGCAAAACCCCGCCGGGCCGGGCGCGGAGGGGGGGACAGCGGGGGGCGAGGAGCCCTTAACCCCGGGACGCGGGGAGGAGGCGCGGTGCTGCGTCCCGGTGCGGGAGTCCCGACCCCCCCACAGCCGCCCCCTCCCGGGGCCGGAGCGGAGCGGATCCCCCCCCCCCCCCGGTACCTCCGCCCCCGCGGCTCCTCCCCCCGCCGGCGCCCCGTTATCCGCCCCGGCCCCGCGCCTTTAAGGCCGCCGCACCGGAGCTCCGCGCCCGCTCTCGGCGCCGCGAGGCCGAGCG